CCTAAGAGAATGATTTACTATATGGAGGTTAGATCTACTAATTATCAAATGGTTCATATTGGAATTATCCAGATTGGTATATTTTTGTTCAGTTTTTCATATTAGAATTTTCACATATAAATTGTCAAAATTTTTTTATGCATTACATGCAGCAACTAGTGTTATTCTTAGGTAATAAGTTAATTAATTAAAATTATAAGCATGTTTACTATCAACCATTAGATGTTAAAATTTTCTAAAAAGTGTTTATGAATATAAACATGTTTATAAATTATATATACAATATTAATCTAAATGAATAACAACCATTAGATGGTAGAATATCCTAGAATATCCAAGCATATTCTAGGTATATTCACTACCACTCCACAAGTTTGCTTAAGCAAACAAAAAATTGTTAAATAATTTTTATTAAACTTTTCATACTGAAATTGACAAGCTTTATCAAGATTTGTTAGATAATTTTTATGTTGTATAAAATTTTCAAGATAATTTTGTTGAATTTTTATATTAGAATATTGTAAAGATTTCACTTAAAATTTAATTCTTAATTTGGTTAAAACTTTTGAATCTTTATTTGTCACTACTTATAATAACTATATTATGTTATAAAATTGAACACTTTGGAGTTAAATTTTGATAATAATGTGACCATAGCTATGTCTTGAGCATGATATAAAAATATTTATCATTCACTTAAAGAAAAATAAGGATTTTTATTTTTATTTATAGCTTTTTTCAATCAATTTTAATGTCTAAATATTTTTTAAAAATAAAATATTAATAATTTTAACAGGATTGTTGTTTGTTATTTATACTTATAAACTTTTAAACTTATAGTATATTTATTTATATAAGATTTTGTTATTTCTTTTAATTATAAGTTCACTATGGATTTTCATAGTTCCTATCCTTGTTTGAGTCACTTCACTATATTTTATTCTTAAATGATTTGTTATCAATCTCCTTTATATTATTGTTTCTCAATTTGTTTATGAGTCTTAAATTGTTTTTTCAAATATTTTTTATATGATGTATAAGATTTTTTGATAAAGAAATTAAATTTAAATTTTTTTGCTGATTTCAAGTTGTTTTGGCTCAAGTTTATTATCGATTATAAGCTTTTTTATATATTAATTTTTTAAAATTCTATTGATCTAATGTTTTAAAAAAAATAAAATTATGAATTTATTTTTATGAATAATTAAGCTTACTACATTGATTTGTTGAGTTTACTTGAATTAATAATTACTGATTCTGAAATTTTTCTCAATTTCTGCTGCATTTAATATTGTACAGATCAGATAAATAATTTATTCAAAATTAAAATAAAATTCATTGAAAAAACAAAAAGTTGAATAATTTTTGTTCAAACTTGCCCATTTTTATTCCAAAATATTGTTTGAAGATTTTGTTCCTATCTATGGAATATTAGTTTCTTTCTCCAAGAGTTTCATTATGGTTTGTTTGTTTTATTGACATGATATCTCTCTTAATTATTCATGTTTCAAGCTTACATCATAGTTTTCAATCACTTTTTTATTTTTGATGGCACTGGTTATGGACTAAAATCTAGATTGCTATGGATTCTAAGTGTATATTTGATATTGTCAATATTACTTATACTAACATTTTACCAATCATTGCTCATCTTTTCAATTTTTACTTTGATCTTCCTTTTTCTATCTCTGAAGGAACTTTCTATTGATAATGTTGATAAATATAAAGTTTAGAATAAATGCTCATGAAGCCACACTAAAGAATGTAAGAATGCTTATTAGTTCTAATTTTTTTATGTGATGTAATAGACACTGTTGAGTAACATGCAAATAAGAGAATGAACTTGCTTACTTACAACATAATTACAATAATTACAACATTATTGTTGAAATTTTGTCAAACTCTTGAAGAACTTGAGTTAAAGATTGATAAAATGATGACTAC